TTTCGGCCAAAAATGGTTTGTTTAAGTAGGATTTCGGCCATCTAGGTTTGTTTAAATAGTAGGGCTTTGAAGACCTAATAATAATATACGAAATACACAATGAAATACTAAAAATATACGAAATGCAAATTCAAATACATGTATATAGATGAATAATTTCGAAATATATATGTGTATACCACATTAAAAAAGGATGAAAATACGTAAAAAAAATAAAAGAAAAGGTTTATGGGAAATTGTTACGACCCGGATTTCCCACCATCGGGAGTCGTGATGGCGCCTACTAACGGAGCTAGGCAAGCCAAACATTTAAACATTTTCGGATAACAACACAACGATAATAAAACAACAAGTCTTTAAATAAATACGGAAATCTTTTAAAACATGAATAACTGGAAACCCAAAACGCGGAAGTCTAATATTTCACTACCCAAGACTGGAGTCGCTATCTCACGAACTACTATGGAGTGCTACAAACAAGTCCGAATAGAAATACATAAACGTTTGTCTCGGTACAATGGAAACAAACTGAAACATTGAAAGGGACTCCGGCCTGCGAACGCCAGCTAGGCTACCTCGTAAGTCCCTGGACTGGAGTCGGCTCTCGATCAATATCCTACTGCAGTGGTCCAAAAGCTGCTCCGGTACCGTGATCTGTGCAAAAGAGCACAGAAGTGTAGCATCAGCACAACCGACCTCATGTGTTGGTAAGTGCCTGGCCTGACCCCGACGAAGTAGTGACGAGGCTAGACAGGACTACCAAATCAACCTGTGCAGTTCAATGTGTATATATATATATATGCAATACAAGGAAAGAATACAGAAGTTAAACAGTCAAGAGGGAGGGGAGCATACTATGGGGGAGTACAGTTCAGATATAAAATTGACAATTTAAGTACGAAACAGGGCAATAACAATAGTTAATGAGAGCAGGAAAATCAACAGTTGCACGCACCAACCTTCGTGCTTTTACTCTCATTCTCACCAAATGCAATCAAATAAAGTGCACGGCACCACCCTTCGTGCTTTCCCTCACATAACTCTCATGGCACGGAATGATCCTTCGTGCAATTATAATCAAATCAGAGCACGGAATGACCCTTCGTGCAAATATAATCAATACATGGCACGGAATGACCCTTCGTGCATTATCACTCTTCCTCACCCAAACGGTAATAACAACCAAACGGGGCGAGGGGGTAAACAAATAATAAGAAATGTCCCGGCAAGTAATTACACAATTAGCAGCTAAATCCCGGGAAGGGAGCAACAACAACACTTTCACATCCCGGCAAGGGGGATAATCAACATATACAAACCATCCCGGCCAGGGATTAATCATATCACTTTCTCTTTCTTTCATTTCTTCCTCAATAGTCTTAGAATCGTTCGAGCCAACGCTCCAAAGAATTTACAATTCATATTTAGTCCTCATACTCTTCACATTGCATAGAATTCATCAATTAACATGGAAGAGTCATAACAATATCACGATAAGTAGATACAAGGATCCACGGTCATGCTAGACACCGGTGTATAGATACTCGTCACCATGCCTATACACCGTACTCGTTCATTTAGCAATTAGCAAATAATAACACTCTAATCCTATTCCTTCAAGCCAAAGTTAGATCAAACACTTACCTCAAATGCTCCAAACTCAACTCAAGCCTCTAGTATCGCTTTACCCTTCGAATTCACCACCAAACCGCTCGAATCTAGTCACAAATTACTTGAGTGTATCAACAAAGGCTAATCTAATAAATTTGAATGCATGAAAAGTGAATTTTCCAAAGTTTGTTCAAAAATTCCCAAAATGCCTCCGCGCCCACGTGGTCAAAACCCGAGGTTCGAACCAAAACCCGACTACCCATTCCCCCATGAACTCAAATATATAAGTTATTTTGGAATCGGACCTCAAATTGAGGTCCAAAACTCCCAAATTTAGGAACCCTAGTTCTACCCTAAATTCCCAAATTCCCCCATTAAAATCTTTGTTTTTGAAGTTGAAATTATGTTTAAAGATGTTAAGGAGTAAAGAAAATAAGTTAGAAATCAATTACCAATCGTTTTGAAGAAGTATAATCGTTTGGAAAATTGCCTCTTATGTTTTGGGTTTTGAAAAAGTGAAAAATGACTGAAAATCCCGACTTTATATACTTTACTGAAGGATGGCACGGACCGCACAAAAATGCACCGCGGCCGCGCCGAGGAAGGGAAGAGAAATGACTCTCTGAACCTACCCAGCGCGGACCGCACTGATTTGGTGCGCGGCCGCGCTGGTCGACCTATAGTTCACTGGCCCTCTGAACCTAGTCACGCGGACCGCACAGAAATGCACCGCGGCCGCGCGGCTTCCAGCGCGGATCGCGCGGGAATGACCGCGGCCGCGCTGGGGCCTGCAACATCTGGACCTGCAAATTTCTGATACTTTTAAGTCTAAGACCCTCCCGGGACCCACTCAAAACTCACCCGAGCCCTCGGGGCTCCAAACCAAACATGCACATAACTCCAAAAACATCCTACGGAGTCATCCGTGCGATCAAATCGCCAAAACAATATCGAATTAGGCCTCAAGACCCATGATTTCCTTCCAATTTCCATGAAACATCAATTTTACTGCTTCTAGCTCAAAACACGTCAAATGACGTCCAAACTTCACCGCAATTGCTTAACTCATATTTAAGACTTGTGCCGGGCGTCGGAACCAAAATACGAGCCCAACAGCACAGTCTTCTAAACAAATAACACTTTCCAACTCTTTAATTATTTTCAGAAAATAATTTCACGTAAAAATTCATTCCTCGGACTCGGGACCTCGGAATTTGATTCCGGGCACACCCCCAAGTCTCATATTTTCCTACGGACCCCTTCGGGACTGTCGAATCACGAGTCCGGATCCGTTTGCCCAAAACGTTGACCGAAGTCAAACTTAATCAATTAAAACATCAAAATTTTATTATTTTTCTCACAAATTCATATTTAAACGTTCCGGCTACGCGCCCAGACTGCGCACACAAACTCGAGGCAACCCCCAAGTGAGGTTTTCACGACCTCAAAAATACAGAGTGAGTAGGGATACAGGTGATGACCCTTTGGGTCGTCACAGAAATAGGGTTTGCAACCTTTGAGATCTTCCATGCATTGGGAAGACAACTATTAAATGGGTGGGAGAGAAATATTCAAACCTAACTAAAAGGGTATTATTGGTATAAAGATACGGCTGAAACCCTAATTAGGGCGTAAAATTATCATAATGACCCCATTTGGGTCAATCTGATCCATAATAAGTGACTTTTTAGTCTTTGGCTCACCCTTTAAGAAAATACGAACTCCTAGGGAAAAAAAGATGTATTCACTAAATTCTCATTAATTAATATTACCTTGACACATTGGGAATTTGGGATATGTAAATACGGGCAAATTTTGGAAAAATAAAATTAATTTCATCTAAATTATATAAAGAAATATTTATTTTGGACCAAAATAAAAAGGCCTAAAGGTCGTACACTATAAATTTTGTCAGATTTACATAAATCTTCTTCTCCGTCCTCCTTCAATATTTTGTACACCCTCCGTCAAAAGAATAAAGCTGCAATAATTAGATTTTATTTTATTGAGAAAAGCTCCTTTAGCTCATCTTTTCACAATCGAAAATTAAGAAAAATGGAACAAAGGAAGACTGGGATTCGGTGTAAAACATGTTCCTCCTGCAAAAAAAGTTCATTTTATTGAATTCAACACGAATGTAGTGGAAATAATTAGGAAAAGATCGTGTGCTTTGAATTTAATTAGTCAGATTGTTTTAATTATTGACGATTAACATTTCATTATCTAAAGCATAAAAGCAACTATGTCATTGATGGCAACAAGTGACCAGCCAATCCCTTTCATAATTTAATGTTCAACTTCATTTGTATTATGTCTGTGCATAATACGTATCAATCGTAATTAGTTACATTAGCGTTAGCGTCAATACCAACAAATGCATAAATTCAAAATGTATAAACTCACAAGAATTACCTCTCAATTTATTGTTATGAGTGAGTTGAGCCCGATCGTGAGATTACATGTTGATCCGATGGCACCTTGCTCCGACCTGAGCTATGCAATAACATGATCTCCATTGATCCTTGCCGTATGTGTTTGACGGCCACACTATGGCACTCAGAATATCGCTTAGCATCAATGAAGTAGGTAAAAATCATGATTCAAGTTTTAGTACCAACACATTCTTCACATCTATATATCTAAATCATGGTAAACTTACTTATTCGGTATTTATGCTGGTAGAAAATAACATAGAATTGATAGAATAGTCAAGGTGCTTATAAGTTCGCCCTAAATATCACATTAAACTTAAAAACAATGTACAAATATTGTTTATAGGGTAGAGCAAGATATCCTTTTAGACATCCAGCTCCCAGGCCAGAAGATGAACCATTTTATCTTGGGCCGTATCCTACTTATGGGACACATTCTTTACACAAATAGCCGTTCGAATTTACTGTTTATTTTCTAGCCAGTATACATATATTATATATTAATTTTATATATACAGTACATGAATTATACATCCATCAACTATTTTTAGTTTAAGTGGTTGAGCGAGAGGCTATTTAAGTAAATTCTTCTTTTGTGGATGGCCTCAGTTCATAACTAGTAGTACCCAGAACACTTGAGCCCTTAACATTGTACAAATGACACCAAGTAACCACTTTAAAGGGTTGCTATTTAGGAATTAGTCAGTGCGTCCTGAATTTCAAATTTTTAGTTCAATTTTTCGGGATAAAAGTGTCCTGAATTGTCCTGAAGTTGAGATTTTCAGTTTAAAATTTCAAGACAAAATTAATACTGGTTAATCTCTAAATAGTATCCCTGAAAATGGTTATACGTGCACTTAACATTAAAACAACAATGAACTGACTGGTAAATATGAAATGTGACCCCACACAATCCAAAGGCGAAAATGGATAGCTAAAGAAAACACTTCGTGTCAGTTCACAATCCAAATGAACTGTTTTCGTTGTCTAAATAGCAAAAAACCATAGCCAACCAAAGAAGCAAAACCAAAGCCATAACTGAAATATATAGAATAGAAAAGAGGCAATGTTAACAGCACCTTCACTTTCCCGCTTTAAATCTCCATTTATTAGCTGCCCTCTTAAGCTCCCTTCTTCTTCTTCTACTTTCTCTCAGAAATTTCATCAAACACAACGTTCACCAAATTCTTACCCATGTGTTAGAGCTGTGGATCTTGATCAAAACACGGTTCTCTTCTTTATCAAATTTCTCCTTTTTGTGCTTTTCTTACATAATTATCTCTTAATTTTGGTTTTGATCATATTTTTTTGTGTTGGTAATAATGTACTTGGCAGGTTATTGCAATTACGGTTGGGGTAGTCAGTGTTGCTATTGGAATTGGAATTCCAGTTTTTTATGAGACCCAAATCGATAATGCTGTAAGTTTTTTAAAGTATTTATTTTTATGATAATATACCCTTTGGATAAAAAGTTGTACCTTTCTTGCTTGTTGCAATGACATTAACTATATGCCACTTAAGCAATCAAAGAGAAATGAATGACTTTTGTTTATTTATTTCATGACTCTTTCAGCTGAAATTTGATATATTCTCTGTTTAGTCAGAGGTTCTGAATTCTACAATAGTGACTTCAAGTACTAATAATTGGATTTTAAATTTAAACTTTGCACATATTTAGTGAATTTCATAATACAAATACAAGATTTAGGAGAAACCTACTGGGTTTGGCATTTGGCCGAACCTGTAAGTTGCCTTCTAGCTCTGGCCCAGTGTTTAGTAGTTGATAAGTGTACATTTTGCAGGCCAAACGAGACAATACGCAGCCCTGTTTCCCCTGCAGTGGCAGCGGTGCACGTAAGTTTTCTGGAGCCAGAGTTTCTCATTCTCCTATATCTTGAAATTTTCAAATCTTTTAGCACCAATGACCCTAGAAGGATAACGTTATGACTACAGACTACATATGTACTTAAAAATGTGACTACCACATTATTCATTGGTAGCACTCTACAATAAATTTGAGCTGAAAGGCTGTTCAAGGAGCAGCAGAACTCGTCTGGTGGTGCAAAGTGTTTTTTTTTTCTATACATAAAATAAATTGAGGCTATTATATTAAGAGAGAGTTAACTGTCCACCCCAAATGCTTGGAAATTTAGTTTCTTTTCTCAAGCTTACGATAAATAGTGAAAACTAGTAATTTCTTGTTATTGAAAAAGTGCATTGGTTTAATACAACGAGAAAAGAATTTGTGTGGTTGTATTGCTGAGTTTACACCTGTAAAAGGTAGTTCTTCCAGGTAATCATTCGCCATTTTGAAATGAGATGTGGGAAAACATCTTCTATAGAATAAGGGCAAAATTTTCAATGTCCTAAAGATAAAACTAATAAGTAAATGTTCTGATTCCCTTATAAAAGAAATGAACTCTGATTCATGCCTTCAGATAAGAATACTATTGTACTTTTCTGATGGTTTTTGGCGACGAAAAACACCTTCCTTTTTTTCCCTCTATTATGTCTTATAGGTCTTGGGGAACTCAAAAATGGTTCATTTGTGTATTCAATATTAAGATATAACTTGCATGACTTGTTATTTTCCCATAACAAAGGGGCTTCCATTTGCTATAGATCTAGTCATGTTAATTCCCAAGAGAATTTAGATTTCGCTTTGAGTTCTCCTCAGCTCTTATCTTAATTATGTTTTTGCATGTATCAATGATCAGAACATATGGAAGTCCGAGCAAAGACACTAAACTAAACCACTTTTTAAATGCTTCCATAGATCTTCTGCTGGCTGACTGAAAAGTTTGTATATCTTTGAATTATTATGTATGACTTGTTGATCAAAATCGCAGACATAATTCGATAGGGCAAATTGTGCATTTCTTATAAAGCTTTCCAAAGGGCTTATAGTATGTATTTAGTATTTTATTTTTTAATCATATAACTCGTATGACATTTCAGAAATGTCGTTGGAGGGCGATGCCCATCCCTTCAACTCCCAACCATATATCTAGTTCCTTTAAGTATTTCCCGAATCAAGCTGCCTACACGAACGGCCAATTACTCGATGAGCTTCTAGGATATCTGTGGCTCTGATCTAATGCTTTTGTAGTTATTGTTACTTCGTTCTGGCTAAACTTGAATTTCCCTCCATAAATGACATCATTGTAATTGTGAAGTGTTTTAGTGCTGACCATAAGGTAGTGGAATCTGCTATGGAGTTGTTCGTTAAGGAAGAGAGTGACAGAGAATGGTGATTATTGTTTCCTTAAAATTTGCTCGTAGACTAATCTTGATAATTGCAACCTGGAACATCAAAGTGACTCTTGGGCGTAATGTGCCATCAATTAAGGTGTATAGACAATGCAGCACGGAAGAAGAGAGGGGAATTGATTAATTGAACCATAAGATCTTTGTGAGGTTCGATTATTCAGAAGCTCACTTCAGTACGTAGATTGTCTGATCAATGACTGTGTAGAGCCAGCTAATCATTAGAAGCTAACATCAGTTTTGAGGACTGACTTAGAGCTAATACTTATGAGGAAAGGGTTTATACTGCAGAGAAATGCAGATTTTGCATGGGTACTGGCAGTGTGACAGTGGAGCTTGGAGGGGGCGAGACAGAAGTCTCTCGGTGCATCAACTGTGACNGTGGTTTGACTTGCACAACATGTCAAGGCAGTGGCATTCAGCCTCGGTACCTTGATCGCAGGTGAGTGACTATTCTTTACACTCTTAAAAAAAAAAAAAAAAAAAAAAAAAAAAAAAAAAAAAAAAAAAACTTATATCTAATGCGACTTCTGTTCAAATATTGTATGATAAGGAGAACTAAGAACTCAGTCTTAGAGAAACTAATATTGAGAGTGCATTTTTCTCTTGGACAGGGAATTTAAGGACGACGATTAAGTGGAAGAACATTCATCATTGATGCCACAGCTTGTTTATTGTCTCGAAGATCTTGTCATTTGACCTGGATATATTGACTAAATTTATGTAAAATTCAATTCTCTTTCTCCTCTCTCTACCTTTTGTCAGTTCAATTTTTCCTTTTGCATTTTGTTCTTACATGTAATCATTAACAAAATGGAGTAATACAATGATCTCAATACCGGCTTTGTCCAATTGCTAGCTGTTGTAAAAGAGCCAAAGATGGTTTGTTTGAAGAACCTTTGAGGCAATGATAAAGAGCAGTTGTGTGTATTGCATTTTCTCTTTGGATCTAACTTATATACACCAAGGGTGTGAAAGAATTTTTATATTCTCATTGTAATTTAATTTGTTGTAGCGAGTAGCCTGCCTTATTTTCCAAGTTATTAATCCAACTTTCTCGTAACATGACCGAGTACTAATTGAGATTTGAGATAGCATTGAATTTTTCTTTTTTGAATTGGTTAATAGATAAATGGACTCTTTGATCAAAAGAACTTCCTTTTCCCACCTGCTTCTCTTGCAATTCACTTAGCAAGTCAATCAGACATTGAAATATTATGCTGCCCCTCTTTAACACAAATTAATTGTTCAAACCACGATCCTTAGGTGCAAGATATGACTTACAAAATTGTTAAAATAGATTAAGAATCAAATAGAAGAAAAATGTCTCGGAAGACGTACAAATGGAGATGATAGAACCATTCATTTATTTTCTAAACCATTAGAAAGAAAGAAAGAATACATAGACATGGAAACAAGATAAAGTGCAAGGCGAAAATTCAATCTCAAACGTAAAAAATAGGGAAACTTACACAAATGTCCCAAATAAATCTCAACTTACCAACCTCTAGCCATTAGTCATAGACTTACCAAAACTAGCCAACAAAAATTGAAAAACCAAATAATAGGTTTTTTCTCTCAAAAAATCACATGCAAAAATCACCTTCCATATTTTTAAGCGTGTTTAGCAACATTAGATACAAGATGGAAAGGAAATTTCATGGACGGGGTAGCGAATAAGGTGATGAAATACAAAAATCTATACAATATTCCAAAAATCTAAACAAAAAAGGAACTTTTTCAATGGGTATAGTTGAAATTCATTGAAAATATATAGATAAGTCAATATACAAAATTTGAGGAAGATTGAAGGTGATTTGGACTGGTTTTGTATCAAAATTCGTAATTAAATCGAGTTCAAAAAAGTCTTCTGCGACACATGTATCACGCATGTATCACACACACAGGTATACATGGATATACATGTGATACACAATTGGCACAAATATGATACATATGTGATACACAAATGATACACAGTGTGATACACACATCATTTTTTTCATGTTCAGCTTTTACTTCGAATTTTCAATTCAAACCACCTCAAAACTTCACCAAATCATCCAAAAACTGAGATTCACGCTCCTTAAGTTGTGCCCAATCTATTCTAATAACACCCACTCAAAACAAAGCAAAAATTTGATATTTTTTGCTACAAATAGCTAATTGGCTAATTTGGCTAATATTAGTAATATTTTATCAATTGGTCAATTTTTGTAATGAGCTACTTATAAATGGACATAGCTGGTAATTTCCCTTCTAATAATTGTATTGAAAATACTCTGCCATATTTATACATACAAATCATGTAAGAGTCCTAAAATAAGTTATATACAGAGGATAACAATCCTATGCAAACTAGGACACAAGTGGACAAAACAATTGATAATATACTACAACTGATCAACGTTATCCTTCTTCATTCCCCCTCAAGTTGAGCAGGGGTCTGGACCACCATCAACTTGGATTTTAACTCAAGAAAGCGTGACTTCGACAATGGCTTCGTCAATAGATCGACAACTTGATCAAGAGAACTGACATACCGAACTGAAAGCGTCTTAGCACGAACCTTGTCTCGAGTCTTAATTGAATCGTTTTCCTTTTTGATTAGTGCTAAAATAGTTTTCTAGGTTTTACTTTGATTAATGCATTAGTTTTGTAGGTTTTACTTTTACGAATAGCGTTTTTAGGTTTTTTGAAACTCTGTTTGTATTTTTGATGAAAATGCTATATATTCTTCAGTGATTTTTGGAGACGTTGGAATTTTCAAAAAACTGAGACTCAAATAGATGATACTATTAAAGTCTGAAGTTTATAATAGAAAGAATTACGTCCAATGTCACTTGGCCCAACAGCCTAACTGAAAATGGCCCAGGTTTGAAGTCCTTACACTGTTTGGCCCGGGTTTTACATAACCTAAAAGAATCTTTTCATCATTTAGCCCATAATAGATACTCAGTTCCTCCACAGTCCATAACACACATAAGCTTCTTAATATCTCTCTTTTATGTGTATTCTGCCTTATCATTGTGAGCACGTGATTTTTGCCTCGCTCAAATATTCCTATAGAATTCTTAAAATTAGGATTTCCCTTTTATTATTTGATTTTTAGGATTTAATTGCGCAATTTTGTGTGTATTTTTATTCGTGTGTGCATGATAATTCATAAAAAATACAAAAATATTGCATGAGTATTTAGGATTTAATTTTACATATTTTTAGACTAATTAGTAATTAGGCTTGTACAAAAAATACAAAAAAATCACAAAGAAGTTTTGATTTGTTTTGTTTGGCTTTAATTTTAGTCTTAGGTCTATTACTTTCCTTTAAATTGGTATTGGTTTAATTGTAGCTTAATTAAGTAGGTTGAATTAATTTTTAGGTTTAATGTTAGTTTGGTTTTAAAGAGGAAAACAAATAAAAGAAAAGAATTAATTGAAATAGAAATTAAAAAGAAACAAGGGAAGAATAAATCAGGCCATCAGTTTTGGGCCAAAATCGAGCCCAAAACCCCCTCAAACCCACTTCAAACAGTCCCAGCCCAATAGTCCACAATCCGGTCCAGCTTTTCAGAGACAAAACGACGTCGTTTTGGCTCTGTTAGATCTGAGCCGTCTAGATTATTTGATCCTACGGCTCGGAACTAGTTTAGTGTCGATATATTAATGTCCAAACGCATACCCCCCCTCCTTTCCGTCTCTGACTAACCCTAACACAAACCTTAGCCGCCCTCAAATCACCACCGCTTCTCCGCCGTCTCCCACCTTCCGCCGCCGGCCGGAAATCGCCTCCGCCGGCGGCGATTCTCCAAATGACCCCAAATTCACACTCCACGTTCCTCTCCTCCTCCCTGTTCCATATCTGCTTCCAGTTTCTTTCAAACATCGCCCAAACGTCTCAAATCTTTAAAACCCTAGGCGCCGCCTCTGCCGTGCATGGCGGCGCCGCCTCCAAACCTTACCAAATTAACACCAGGGCCCCTCCTCACCTCCCTTGTTACGAGTCCATAACCTATAGCCTTCAAATATTCCCCAATCACCTCGAATATTAGATCGAAACTTGGCCTGAAACCCCAAATTCTCAGGAGTTGGGGGTTTACTGATTTTGGGCTATAATAGCCCTTAATCATGTGTCTTCTCATGAAAGCACATGGTTAAGGACAATTATAATCCCAAATCACTCCAGGAAGTTAGCCTTAATGCGAGTCTGATTCGAGAATTGGAGGTATTTCATTTTTTCTTTTACTTTCTGTTTTCTTCTCTCTCATGATTCTGACTCTTGTTCTTCTATGTTTGTTTCTTTTACTATTTTTATTTTTAGGGTTCTGATTACAATAGTATAGTTTAAATATTTGTTCTTATTTTTGTTTGATCCTAATTGAATGACTCATTGATCCATCATTAGTCATGTTAGTTGATTTAGAAGTTTAGGGTTTTTAATCTATTGATTCTGTTTTTGGTTTTAGTTTTTGTTTTTGGGTTTAATTTTTGTTCTATTTTGATTTTCTTTGTTAGTTTGATTTTTGTGTTTGGTTTCGATTTAAATCATTCCATTATTGCTACTGTTAATTTGATTTTAGTTTCAAGTTTGTTTGATTGCCATTAATTGTTAGTCTACTAATTGTTAGATATAATTTCATGATTAGTTAGGTTGTTTGATTAGTTTAATTTTTAGGTCCTGTTTGGTTATAGCTGATCATTCCAACTCCTTAGTTAATTTTGACCTGGGTAAAAGGGGTTGGGTTTAGTTTAACATAGTTAGTAATTTTAGGATCAATGCAGGGGCAATATAGGTAGATTAAGTCAAGGAATCTTATAATAACTGATTTGGAAACCCCTAGATCCTTCTAGAAGGGGTCTTAGTGTAAGTTTCAGCATTTTGAAAGTAGTAACTTGAGAAACAAGTCAAAACTTTAGGACTAGTAAGTAATTTCTGAAAATAAAAAGGGGGAAAATGAGTGAAAACCTCTAGAACCTTCCTGCCCTTCTTCCTGCCTATAAAAGGCATGCTTAGTGCCTTCATTAACAAGTTTAGATCCCTGAAAAATCCCCAAACTCTCCAGCTTTTAATTTCCCCTCAAGATCCTCTTCTTCGAATCTGAGTCTCAAATTTGAATTTCAAAATCAAAAGAAGTTCAAATCTGAACTCCTATAGTTCTAGAAACCTTCATTTAGAGCTTAAATTATACAGGAAAAAAAACCAAAAAAAAAATAACAGAAAACTTTCAAAAATACCAAAAATACTGTTTCATTGGAAACCTTAGGTTAATTTTGATTTTCAGTTGTTGATTTACATCGTCTAACTCAATATTTAGTTGCCGAAGTATTCTGGACATTCCTGGGGTGTTTGGCGAGTATATTTGGGTTATGTCAAGCTGATTTTGGGCTATTCTCATTGGTGTTTTTCCCTCTGGTGTTCATTTTGGGATTGCTGGGTCCTGTTTTGAGTTGGAAATTGACTCATTTGTCCTGATTTCAACTGTTGTCGGTCTATTGCTACTGCTGACTCCTTTCCTTTACTTTGTTCAATTCCAGGTACACTTGTTGTCCCTAATGATATGAAGTTTTCACTCATTGTACATGAACAATCGTGAAATCAATATGATGAAGCATTTCTACAATACGAATCTGCCTTTGTTTTCATTACTAGTTTAATATGTAGCTGTAGATTCATTCGAACAGATATGTATTAATGTTAAATAGGACTATTTGTATTAATTAGGACTGCTCAAACTCATTTTGTAATTATACTGGACTGTATGAACTGTCGTCCCTTAGGTTTGTTTGAGCCTTTTGAGTTGAGAAGCAATTTCATGTTAGGTGGATAGAATAGCTCATGTTAGTTTAGTTAATTTCTGTTAGTTACGCCATATATCTGTTAGTTAGCTCATGTTAATTACTCCATAGAATCTCTAGTAGTTATTTCCATTTTTAAT